TTGCGCCTCTTTACGTGCCTACCTGCTGAGCCCGCGGCAGCGGCAACCAACGATCGGTCCCGCTCAGCAAGCCCACTCACTGATGAGCCCATGCAGCTGGGACACTTAAACCCAGAGGAGAGGGAGAGGCGCTATAAGGAGGGGCTATGCGCCTATTGCGGCGCACCAGGCCATCGGCGCTTCTCTTGTCCTTCCCAGCCGGGAAACGCCGTCTCCAAGTAGGCAGCAGCAGAGGGGTCCTACTTGGGTCGGCCGGAACCCCCTCGACCCGCACCATGCTCCCAGTGACACTTCATCTCGCCCAGGGGCCCGTTGAGCTGGAGGCGCTTTTGGATTCTGGAGCAGCGGACTGTTTCATGGATAAGGATCTGGCGGCCCGCCTACACATTCCCCTGTCCGCTCTCCACCGAACCATTCCCGTTATTTCCGTGGATGGTACTCCTCTCCAGCCCTATCCCATCCACCAGGAAACGGTGGACCTCCGTATGGACGTACCTCCCCATTCTGAGACCCTCCGGTTCCTGATTATCACAGCCCCTTTATCCCCACTGATCCTGGGTCACTCCTGGTTCTTACGTCATAACCCCCAGATCTCCTGGTCAACTGGGCGGGTGCTCACCTGGGGAGCGGCTTGTCATTCCCATGTACCTTCTCAACCTGACTCTGAACCTGAAACCCCAGATGTCGATGTCTCTCAGATCCCCTCCTGCTACCATGACCTGGCCCGGGTCTTCTCAAAGACATCTACCACCACCCTTCCTCCTCACCGACCATATGACCTGGAAATAAAGCTCCAGCCTGGCACAGTTCCACCCCGGGGTCGCCTGTACTCTTTATCCCCGGCTGAGACCCAGGCCATGGAGGCGTACATAACGGAGGCTCTCCAACAGGGGTTTATCCGACCCTCCACCTCGCCTGGAGCTGCGGGGTTCTTCTTCGTAAAAAAGAAGGAGGGGGGTCTTCGACCCTGCATCGACTATAGGGGTCTCAATAAGATCACGGTCCGCGACCGTCACCCTCTGCCCTTGATGTCCACCGCCCTGGATGTAGTGTCCCAATCCGCCATATTCACCAAGTTGGACCTGCGCAGCGCCTACAACTTGGTCAGGATAAAACAAGGCGAGGAGTGGAAAACCGCTTTCATCACCCCAACAGGCCACTGGGAGTACCTGGTCATGCCCTTTGGCTTGTGTAACAGTCCTGCGGTTTTCCAACGGCTAATCACTGACGTCCTGAGGGACATGCTGGGCCGGTGGGTGTTTGTTTACCTTGACGACATCCTGATCTATTCCCGAACCCTGGACGAACACATCACACACGTGCGAGCCGTTCTTTCCCGGCTGCTGGAGAACGGTCTCTACTGTAAACTGGAGAAATGTGCCTTCCATCAGGAGACCATCTCCTTCCTGGGTTTCGTCGTGTCGTCAAGAGGATTTTCAATGGACCCCCAGAAGGTCCAGGCTGTCGCCCAGTGGCCGCAACCCACTTCCCTAAAACAGCTCCAGAGCTTCCTCGGCTTCGCGAACTTCTACCGCCGCTTTATTTGCGGTTTCAGTTCCATCGCCGCGCCCCTCACTGCCTTAACCAAGTCATCCAACCAGACTCACCCTTTCCGTTTCACTCCTGAGGCCACACAGGCATTCCGCACCCTGGTGCACCGATTCACGACCGCTCCCCTCCTCGTTCATCCGGACACAACAAAGCCATTCATTGTGGAAGTGGATGCGTCCGAGGTGGGTGCAGGGGCGGTCCTATCTCAACGCGGTCCAGACTCCAAACTCCACCCCTGTGCCTATTTCTCCAGGAAATTCATACCAACCCAGAGGAATTACGGGGTGGGGGACAGGGAGCTCCTGGCTATTAAATGGGCGCTGGAGGAGTGGAGGCAGTGGCTATTGGGTGCCCAGGACCCGTTTACCATATGGACAGACCACCAAAACCTAATTCATATCTAGAATGCTCGCCAACTCAACCCCCGTCAAGCCCGGTGGGCTCTGTTTTTCGAATCCTACCACTTTCATCTGGCCTATCGCCCTGGTTCTAAGAATCTGAAGGCGGACGCCCTTTCCTGCCATCACGCCCAATCTGCACCCGTCAAGGAACCACCGCCTATTTTACCTGCCCAGAGGTTCGTTGCAGCCCTTCACTGGCCAGTGGAGGACGCCATCCGAGCTGTTCTTCCCACCGAGCCCGCACCTGCTGACACACCCTCCAACCGACTGTATGTGCCATCCACCTGCCGGTCTGAGGCCCTAGCATGGGGACATGCTTCCCGTTTGGCTGGCCACCAGGGGGAGACCCGCACCCTCCAGTTCCTACGTCGGGCCCTGTGGTGGCCCTCCATGGCTAAGGATGTCCATGAATACGTGGCTGCATGTTCCACCTGTGCCCATTCCAAGACTCTGAACCAACCCCCGGCTGGCGACCTCCACCCTCTTCCTGTTCCCCACAGACCCTGGTCCCACATAGGCCTGGACTTCGTCACGGGGTTGCCTCCCGTCAACCAGCTCGACACCGTCCTGACCATCGTGGACAGGTTTTCCAAGGCGGTCCACCTGGTGGCTCTTTCCGGCCTGCCCACCGCTAAGCAGACGGCCGAAGTCCTTCTGGAGCAGGTGGTCCGTCTCCATGGGTTCCCTCAGGACATTGTCTCGGATAGAGGGCCCCAATTCATGTCCAGGTTCTGGAAAGCCTTCTGCCGGCTGGTTGGTGCCAGTAGCAGCCTCTCGTCTGGCTACCATCCCCAGACCAATGGACAGACTGAACGCGCCAACCAGCAGCTCGGGCGGTACCTGCGCTGCTTCGCCTCTTCCCAACCAACCACATGGCCAAAGCATCTCTTGTGGGCGGAGATGTCCCATAACCTCCACGTCTCCTCGGCTACTGGTCTTTCCCCGTTCGAGCTGTGTAATGGTTACCAGCCCCCTCTGTTCCCTCACCAGGAACCGGAGACGGAGGTTCCTGCGGCCCAGCTCCTAGTTCGACGTTGCCGTCTCGCTTGGATCTGTGCTCGGGCTGCCATCACACGAGCTAACACGGAGTACTCACGCCAGCATAAGCGCCGCCACCGGCCTGGTCCGACCTTTCAGCCGGGCGATAACGTGTGGGTGTCTACTCGTAACATGTGTTTGCCCGCCGGCTCCAAGAAACTCAGCCCACGGTTTCTGGGTCCTTACCCCGTGGAGAGGGTCATTAACCCCGTGGCTTACCGCATCCGCCTGCCCCGGTCTCTCAAGGTTCACCCCGTCTTCCACGTTTCTCAGCTGAGACCGGTCAGGACCTCTCCTCTCGCTGCCCCCCCTGTGCCCGCTCCACCGCCTCGTGGGGTGTGCGGTGATGGTGTTTATGCTGTGCGCCGCCTGCTGGATGCCCGTCGCCGTGGCAGGGGATGGCAATACCTGGTGGACTGGGCGGATTACGGACCGGAGGAGCGCTCATGGGAACCGTCGAGGGTCATCTTGGACCCCTCTCTCATAACGGACTTCTGGGCTCGCCGCTCTGGGACTTCTGGGGCCGTCCCTCGGGTGGGGGGTCCTGTCACACAACCTCCCTCTCAGCCGTCAACCTCCTCTAGGGAGGCACCGCAGAGCCGCTCAGACTCCATTACCCAACATCCCTAGCGCCAGGCTTCCGTTTCACGTCACCCGCCAAATCTATATAAGGGAGTGCCGCACAACGCCGGCTCACTCAGTCATCGTTCTCACCGAACTTAACCTAGAGTCCAAACCAGATCAGCTCAGATCACGAAGCCTGTTCAGATCAGACCAACCAGATCAGACCAGCCAGATCTCAGAATCCTGCCTGTTCGTACAGATCAGCTTCAGACCAGGAGTCGCCGTGTTCAGCTGTGTCACCATACAGCTGCGCACCCGGCTCCCAGATTAAACAGCGTGTCCATTCAACCCGGCGTCAGTCACTCCGCGCTTGGGTTAAAAGCCACGCCACATCCAAACTCTCGCCCAGCTCGAGTCACCCCGTTACACCTACAAACATTTTGAACCCTGACGAAGGCCCTGTGGGCTGAAACGCGTTGGCAGAAAGTTTTTAACCATTTAAGCCATGTATTATTAAAGGCTTTTTAACTTTCTATCTCCTGAGTGCCTCAGACCTCTTTTTGCTTAGTAAAAAAATATATGTCATATTTTAGCAGAAGTAATAACAATAGCATTTGCATTTATAGAAAAACAAATCTTAATGTGGGACCTTGTTGTTTTAGCGCTTCATTTGATTCTATCATCAGAATCTCATATTTCTTAATCTCAAATTTGGGAAGAAAACTAAATCTGTGCTCATATTTTACATCTGATACAGCTCTTTCAAACAGCTCGTTTTAGAAAATCTTTAAAAGTTTGTTAGTTCAAACTTTTTTATTGGTCAATAATGCCAGAACAGACAAATACTATTTATACACATATTCATTGTAAAAGATTCACACATTTTACACCCATTTCTATATATAAAAAATTATTTGAGAGAATGTTAATCATAAAACATCAGTGTTTGTATTTGAAGTAATGGGTATTACAAAGTTGGGTCATGTTTTTTTTCCATTTAGTTTACATTATTATATTTTTCATGAGTTTTAAACCTTTCTTTTTCAACTTTTGATTATCTTTATTAGGTTAGGCAAATTTGGCAAATGTATTGAGAGCAATTTTTAAAAATACTTTTTCAATATTTTTCCCCCTGAAATTATAGAAGTAAAATTAATTAAAAACTTAAAGTAAAATAACAAATTAAAATCTAATATAATGTCAACACTAAATACACTCTCAACTTTATTAAGCAGCTTTATTACGTAGTACTGATTCCAAATTTTCATTCTAAGTTCAAAATTGAAACTACTTCAGGTGATTTTTTTTGCATTGCATCAGAGAAAAAGAAATGTAAAGAGGATTTATGTAAATGCAGCCCATTTCAGTTCATTTTCCCGAGTGAGATAAAAATCACAGCAATTCAACCTTGTCATATTGCAAATATCACAAATACACAGGATGGCATTTTGAATTGATATCATGAATTATTTAATAAGTATATGTTGTAAATCTTCATGCTTTTTCCAAATGTTTTTAGCTGAATTCTTGAGCTTGTCTCAGTCTACTGCTTAGCGGCAGACATGATCACTGCTTTAGAAGAAACCACAACCTTTGGAGCATTCTTCTTCTGTTCCGCTGCCTTGGTATCTCTCTCTGCACACAGACAAGGAAACACGGTCATTTTTACGAAATTATTAATTGTTGAATTTGTACCGATTTATACCATATCACTTACTTCCTTTTGTGATACATAGCGGTTCACAGTTGACACCCAGTTCTGGCGAGCACACATCTGTGCTACAGTGAATGTATACCTAAACAAGACAAACATTTTTAAAATCAAATCTAAAACAGAAGACTTATTTTACCTGTGATTTTTTTCTGATTACTACATTCATTACATTTTCCTGCAAGGGTTCCATGGTGCTCTGATCTACAAAAGTGAACATTTTGAAAATGAAACGCCGGTAGTGGGTTGGATACTGCACACCAGAGGAGGCATCTACTGGAACCAGTGCGGAGAGGTAACGATCATCTGCGTATGGACATCTGGATGGAGAACAAGTTTAGGTCTATTACAAATTTTGTCATCAGTACACAAACGTGACAAATTGCTCTCTTTACAATTGAATGTAGGCATTGTAAGACAAATATCAACTGCCTATGTCCACTACAGAGGTGAGGCAGATTATATATAAACTAGTTTTCTGCAAGAAATTGTTTAGAAATTAATGTTTTAGTTCATTTACTTACCCATTTATCAGAATGTCCCACTGGGGGAAGCTGTGTGGGTTGGGGTCTGCAGTTACCCAACAGCGACCAAGAGTCAGAACAAGGGCAGGATCTGTTTTATCCATGAGCTCAACTTCCACATAAACTGGATCTCTCAGTATTTTAGTAACAGGATAGTCTGTGTCCAGATAGTACGAGGTGTAGGCTGCTGCCACTGTAGGACAAAAGCCACAAGTTATTGTGACACCAAACATTGTGAAATGATCAACAAACAGCATCTCTTTTTGGTCAACACATACTGACCTTCATCACAACCCTTGGTCAAACATTGGCCATTGCCCAGCCTCATTTGAACATTGACGGGTCCAAGAGCAGCAATCGGCAGAGGAGGTTCAGCCAGGGCTACTTCAATAATCAAGGTTTCAACGGAGGTAGCAGTGTACTTACACTGGAAAACCAGCCTGAAGAATACAACTGGTGTTATGTTGCATAGTCCATGTTTTTATTTAGAAAATTTTACACTGTTCACCTACTCGTAGCTGCTGTCCCTGGTGATAGCACCATAAGGTCCAACACCCACTTCATAGGATGAGGTCATCTTATTTTGATAGACTATAGCTCCAGGCTCATCCTGCCCAAAACAAGTAAAAGTTTAAAATGGATTAGTGACCGTCAAGAACTGCCATCTTAGTCAAGCAAACTAAAGCAAATAGAATAGAAAAGACTCTCTTAATCCCTCAGTGGTAAAATTCTCTTGCTAGAGCAGCACACACACTTAGAGAAAAAGGAAGAAGAGAATAAGATTGTAGGTAAACACACAAAGGCAATAAGCTATCATTGTAACCTTCAACCATTAAAAACCATTTATAAAAAGTAATGAAAAAATTACCGTGGCAATAGTGCCACAGTCAGTAACGGGAAAGAAGTAGATGGCAAATTTTGAGTTAGAGTCAACAGCTGTGCAGCCTTGTCCTTGTCCCAACAGTGAAATTGATTCAAGATCAATGTACGGTAAGGTGACGTCCCTGGCCACAACAACAATAAACCGGCCATCCTTGGTACACTGGAGAGTCACTGATGGAAGAAAGACAGATTAAAGATAAACATTTTTGTCTAATTCTAACAAATTAAATAGCAGTCACAGTTTTTCATCCTTCTTTCTACATGGTCAGACAGGAAAATCTGGATGAAACGTTTGTAAATAGATTCACTTACCTCCGTTTCCAAAGTAACATGATTGACCATCATAGCAGCAGTCTCTAGCCTGACAGTCAGTCGCGGAGATACCAGAAACTCCACAAGGGACTCTCACGGATGCGTCCACGTCGCATGTAACAGGAGGAGCAGGGGGCATTGCAGGGATTTTTGTGTTTTCAGGTGGATTACTTGGAATCTTGACAGACTGATCATCAAACTTAGGAGGATACTGAGGAGGATACTGAGGAGGAAACTTAGGAGGATACATAGGAGGATATACAGGAGGATATACAGGAGGAGGAGGAGGATATACAGGAGGAGGAGGATATACAGGAGGAGGAGGAGGATATACAGGAGGAGGATATACAGGAGGAGGAGGATATACAGGAGGAGGAGGAGGATATACAGGAGGAGGATATATAGGAGGAGAAGGAGGAGGATATACAGGAGGAGGATATACAGGAGGATATGGAGGGTATTGAGGGTTCTGAGGGTTTTGACCCTTCTGAGCCTCTACTCCTTTCTCAGCTAAGCAGCATAGCAGAGCCACTGCTGCCAAACCTGTGACACACCAGTGGTTAGCCATGGCCTCACAGCTGTCTGACCTGGTATGTCCCCAAGTGTATGGCTTGTGTCTGCAGCTGCATTTATTTCCTTCGAGGCCTGGTGCCTCACAGACCCCTCCTCTAAGTCCAAACGATCACCAATCATTTGTTTTATAACAACATCCAACACCCCACTTGACTCTCGAGCTGAAACAAGTGGTTTCAACAAGTCTTATCAGATGTGATCTTTGTGTCAGATGACAGCATGACATTACAATTTAGGTCACTGTAACCTTTTTAAGGTCTTTGCTCTCTGAAATGTAAGTGTCACCAGGTGTTTGCTTTACCAGTGCATGGTCACAAACACATTGATCCTTTCTCTGAACTTCTACAGAAACTTTACAAAATGCACCTCAGCTAAAGCTAGAGGACTAATTTTTGATAATTTGCTTTAGAGACCACAGTGATTCATTTGGCAGTTGTCACTATGCAGTTTTATTGTTTTTAGAAATAAAATGGTTTACAATTCATATACACAAATAAAATGCCTAATTATTGGAGGACTTTTTCCAAGCATAATTTAGTGAGCAACATAATACACATTCATGAGATAAAAAAAAGTATAGAAAATCCTTTCATAGCATCTATTTTCAGGCCAGTTTATAACTCAATCAAATGTAAGTACTACAGGTACTTCACAACACTGGTCAGCTGTGGATACTTAGACCATCTGTGCAGTTCTGGAAAAATGAGTTAACACTGTTGTCTTTAGCTCCGGGCCACCACATGACACTACCACTGTCTCTCATAGAATAGAATAGAATAGAATGGAATAGAATAGAATAGAATAGAATATTAATCCCAAATTTATAACATTCACTTATCAATGCAGCACATACACTTAGTGAATAGAAAAAAAATACAGTTAAACACACAAAGGCTATTATAGTAACATTCAATATTCATACAGTTAGTATAACAAATAAAAATGAAAAAGTGATTTATATATTTCAAAGCATTTCAGCCTCCAGCAAAAAGAAAATAGACTGTTCAGCGTTTACACACTGGTGATTATTAAGAAATTTACCATCATAACATGGAAACCAAGAAACAACATCGCATCCCCATAAACCATAATTTATCTGCATAACATAACATTTTGTTGTATATTAGTTTTTAGATTCCATTGATGTTTTCTATCTGCTGTTAAGTGTAAGGAAGAAATTGCTTGTTGGGAGTGTTCACAGTTATGGGAAAGGGTAAATAAAGACTGGTGCATGCAAACACAGATGTGCAGTAATCAGGTATAAGGAAATACCCAGTGACCCAGTGTTATAGTCCATAGAAAATCACACTACAGATGGCATGCTACTTTAATCCTCTAGTTTATGACTACAGACATGCAGACACTTTTGAAAATACATAGGATTTTGAAATAAAAGTAATTCTGCATGAAGTCAAACAGTTACACTCCATAAAGTCAACGTCTACATAGATCTAAAAGTAAAAAACTAGCTCTCTTAGGTTCAAACTATGCTGAAGAAGGACTTTTAGAGCATTAGTGTGAAAAATTACATTACTGGTGTCTTCAGGGGTCGAGTGACTTGGGTTGATATTGGTGTCAATACTTTCTCAAGATAATTTGGGTCCTAGAGTTTGTTGTTGAATGAAATTGAATGTGATGAGGTAATTGAAGGTTTGGTAATGAAGATTCAAATTATATTCTGCAGATTTGAAAATGAAGGATGCTGAATAATTTAAGGGGTAAATGATGTTTCTGAGGGTCCAACGTGTTGGTTGGTGATCAACACAGACACTGAGGACCCTGTGACAGCTGATGATTCTTGGAAAATTGAAGACTTTTAGGATTCAGCCATGAAGGTTGTTGAAAGTTCGTATGAGACTTCATCACCAGAGGAGACAGTTTGCTTCAGGAATTCAGTGAAAGAACCCTCGTTGTAGGAATCAACCCTGGCACTCAAAAGGTACTGAATAGGGAGCGGCTTTGAAACATAACGAATCTGCAAACAAGCTAGGTTTTGAACGCAAACACGGTCATGGAACACTCACCCCTCCCCTTGGGATGTTTCTGCCGGAACCGGAAACCCGTGATGCAGTACAAAATGAGATAGTGCTAAACACCAGTCGCCGTTTTCTAGGTCCAAATGTCTTTTGTTGTCCATAGCCCCTTTTACACAAGAGCTGGCTCCGCTCCGCGCGGTCAGCCCGAGCCCACCTCAGTCTGGCTGGGTTGATTACACACATCCTTCCACACATCCTTAGGAATGTGGACGTGACTGAAGATATGGGCCGTCTCCAAAATAGGTGCGAAGTTATTAGTGATGCAATGAGCGCATCTCTGAGCATAAAGGCTGGGCAAACGACATGTGGAGAAGTCTGCGGTGTTGCCCTTAAATTAAACAAAGGCGGCCGTGAGCAATGTTGCTTTTGGAGACTCTAATATTGCATCCAGACTGCTGTGTCTGTCCTGGTGCAGCTCAAGCCTGACAGCGCTGTCTCTGTGTGTGCTCCTCAGAGAGAGACACAGAAAAAAAAGAGATGTGTGTGTGTGTGTGTGTGTGTGTGTGTGTGTGTGTGTGTGTGTGTGTGTGTGTGTGTGTGTGTGTGTGTGTGCGTGCGTGCGCGCGCTCCTCAGACAGAGATGGCTTCAGTCAGAGGAGATGTTTCCTCCTCTTCATAGAGAATGTTGATGACTCACGCAAGTGGGAAGACCCCGCTGACTGATTCTATCCACCATTCGGAGGCTCCCCCTAATGGTAAGCATGAAATTGAGCCGACCAATCTGTCGGCAGTGGGTGTGTTGGACCAGTTCACCCCGAAGCAGACCACCTTGGGAAGAGGGCTGAAAAAACAACAGGTTGCGTGCAGAAAAAAAATCCGGGCTGTGCGGATGTGAGCACTCTGTATCCTATCTAGGCGATGTGGAGTCGGTGTTAGTGTGGAAGACCTACATGACTTCAAATGGCGATTTTCTTTTTGGGACTCTGGTAGTTTGTCCTTAAGTTGAAGTGGTAGCAGCCGGCTGTTTAGTGATATTATTGAGCCACGAACCTCTCACACCAGTGGTGTTCTGTTGACCGGCGACAACTGGATGGTCCAATAGTTGCTTTCGGTCCAAAACATGTTATTGGCGGTGGTTTTTAGACAAATGTGAGAGAACCACTTTATTATTGTTTCCTTTTTCTTAAATCTCCACAACATATTTATAGCTGTACTATGTTAGAATATTGTTTAGATGCATGAAAGCAAATTTGTTTTCCAAATTTGCCATTGCAGCTTTAATGCTGCAAAAATTTAGATGGCTCGGTAGGAAGGCCCTCTTTGATCATCTGGTTCCCTACTTAGCACCATTTTGTAGGTGACATTTTGCTATGAACAGCCCAAAAAATAATACATGTGTGTTCCTTCATTTATAAATGACTAGACTGGGTGTTTTAAAATTTCATCCTCTAATATTATAAAGTATTTTAAAACAGCCACTTGTTCCTCAGTTGTGAGTTTTTTTCTAACTAACTGCTTAGATCATTTGAACAGATTTTTTTTTGTCACAACCTCATGAGATGACCCGTGTTGGCAGGACAAAGTTGTAACAACAGTGTTTTAGATGACAGCATGACACAAATATATTTATTTGCTCGGTCTTGGTGACCCCTTGGGTTTTATTTGAATTCATGTGCCTGTCTTCCACATAGTACACAATAAATTGTTCAGTCGGAATGTTTTTAATAGTAACTTAACATGTAAATCGTCATCTAAAAATAAAATTTGGAGATTTAGTTTAATCAGTCAGAATGTGACTTTTGAATCAGTTGAGTTCTGATGTAAGGCAGGCTTATTGTGCTACTGATCCATTGTGAAAATAAAACCAACTTTAACATTATTTTTTTTACTCAGTAATGTTCTTAAAGGTGTAGAACATTTTAGCTGGTTTATTCTCACTTATATATTTTTCAGGCTAAATGAAGTAATTATATCAGATACAGTAGATCTGTAATAGTTTGACATATGTGAATGTGGTATAAAATTATTTTAGGATATTAAACTACAAAACAAAAAGTTTTTCATTGTAGTATGAAAGTCAGACATTTTTGTGAGTGCAAAACATAAAGCACTTCAATAAAAAAACAGAGGAAATTTTATTTTTAAATTAAGACCAAAAATAAGCAGTTTGTCTCAGAAATATACTTAATGTTCGCTAAACATTACAATGCATTAAAATAAACTTATAGTAAAATGTAGCAATATTACAGAAATATACCTAAAATGCAGGTATACTAGTAATTATTTTGTTTTCTATAAGGCACATAATATGTATTTTATTAAAATATGTAGAAAAATCTGTTTTTTAGAGATCATTTTATGCAATTCAAATGCATGAGGTGGGTGTGTACAATTGCAGCAATATTCACCTCTTTGCACCCGGCATCAGAATTAGTGCCATACTTCATTTTGTCCTCACTGTGGAGCTATTCATTACTAAAGCTTGTGTGCCTGCCATGTTTGTGCAAGTTTGTTACATAAAACTCCACCACAGTATCTATCTATCTATCTATCTATCTATCTATCTATCTATCTATCTATCTATCTATCTATCTATCTATCTATCTATCTATCTATCTATCTATCTATCTATCTATCTATCTATCTATCTATCTATCTATCTATCTATCTATCTATCTATCTATCTATCTATCTATCTATCTAGCTAGCTAGCTAAAATACAAATTTTATTTACTTTTTTAGGAATAACAGGTAGAACTTGAGAATTGAACTTGATAATACAGTTTGATTTAAAGAACAAAGTATGTGTTTCAGAGAAAGTTATAGATTAAATGGGAAAGAAAAAATGTGGAAAGTGAATTTGTTTTTAGAAAATTCTTCTCTGAGTTACTACTAAAGTAAAACAACTCAATCAAAATTTCATGGTTCAAGGTTCAAGGTTGTCTTTATTAATCCCCAAGGGGGAAATTGAATTGCCTTGGACAAATAAAACACAACAACAACATGCACGCACACACAACAATAATTATAATAATAATAATTCACTGGACACTGCTATAAGCCACAACCATGATAGAAATATCAAATAAACAGTCGTACAAAATGCTCGTTGTAAAAACGCACTGCAGCAGGACTAAAAGAGTTCCTAAAACATTCGGTGGAACAACGGGGCATTAACATTCGCCCACTAAAAGAGCTCCTGAGATCCTTAAAAATATGAAGGGGCTGATCCTCCAGAGACATAACTGTCTTAAGTTTACTCTTCATCTTTTTGTTGATGATCATGTCTAATGAGTCCAAGCTTTGCCCAACCTCTGAGCCAAATTTCTTGATCATTTAGTTGATTTAGTTTTTGTCCTCAGCAGTGAGGCTCCTGCCCCAACACAACACAGCATGAAACAACACACTGGCCATAATCCCCTGATAAAACACATTCAAGAGCCTCCTACTTATATCAAAGGATCTTAGCTTCCTACGAAAAAACTATTCGGACTGGGCCTTTTTAACAACAGCACAACAGCATTTTATGTACAAATTTAGTGCCTTTAATAACCATTTCAATTCTATTAAAAAAGAGAACATTTTTGACAGAATGAAACCTACAGCAGATTCAGTGTGGTGGATTGGATCAAATCGCAGGATGTTCTTTGTGGAAATGAATGTTTGCTTCTGGTTTCTTCTTCTTCTTCTTTTTTTTTTTTGCTGACACCCCAGCATTGTCCCTACAAGGTGAATCAGGGATTATATCGATTTAAAAGTGTGAAATACATTGCGTGATGCATTTGATTTGGATAAAATGTCACTGGTGGTCCACCAACTGTTGACTGCTGGTCCCCTGCAAACCTGAAAAGAACAAAGATTCAACAAACAGAATTTTGATTAGCTAAGGTAATGTATTTATTTCTATAACTTATAATGTGCATAGCATACAAAATTTCTCCTGCTGCTGTAAAACTGCCCTGCTCTGGTTCGTTTTACAACAGGGGATTACATTTTAATCGGTTTATTGTCACATTTCCTGTTCCAGCAACGACAAGCAGTATAACCTACATTTCCCACAATTCAAAGCGGTACGTCGTATTCGCAGGAGCAGAGCGACAGACGCATCTGATCTCGAAGATATGTGCGGCTCGGACTGAAGTAAAAAAACGTTTTGTGTTTAAGGTTTTCCCGGTGGAAATGTCTTTGTCGTCCCAGCTGAGCTCAGACACAACGAACCGGAGGAGAAGACCGGGTGAGCACACGCAAGGTGCTCATCTTTAGCTCCGTATTTAGCTTTTTAGGATGAAAGAAAACTTTATTTGTATCTGCTAACTGTGCTGTTGACGGCTACTAGCAAACATTTTAAATGGCCAACAATATTTTAACCTGAATGCGAGCTGTGGGCTTTTCTTTTGTTATTATTCATGCCGGAAGTAAGACTGAAGCTACAGACAAATGTTGTTACAAAGTCACGACATATTGATTAGGAGGCTGAACCGCTGTAAAATCAAAGTATCACGTTTTGAATGAATGAAGAGTGGGGAAAAAAATCCTCACAGATTTACCTTTAATTCAGATTCAAACCATTAGATTAAATCAGCTGAATTTTGCTTTTCACCTAAATAAACATATCTCCTTTACAAAGCAGCATTTTCTGTTGCGTTTGCATCTCTCATTTGCATGCAACCAATGCTTTTGGCAAGAAAAACTGATATTTTTTTTATATCAATACTTCCTGAAATAGAGATGTTTCCATATTTCAAATTCACATTCAATCATCAAGGTAATGAAAATGCAAATATGTTTCTGTCAAGCAATTATATTAAAATGTAGCTCAGCTAAACACATTTCGTCTGCTTTGTAAAGTGATTTGTCTATACTACTGTCTTTAATATTTGCTTCCATTTTAAGTCATGTATTCATTTGGGAAATTAAACATCAGAAAATTATTAACATTTTTGAAATCGCTCAAATGTCTAAAACCAAATTAAAGATTAAAGTCCCATAGTTCTCACACACACTGGTGTGGCAGGCTGAAAATTGTCTTATTTGACCCATCCCCATGGGGAGTGGTGAGCTACAGACACAGCTGCGTTTGGGAACCATCTGGTGGTTTAACCCCCCAATCCAACCCCTTAAGGGTGGGTGTCAAACAAGGAAGCATTGGGTCCCATTTTTATAAAGTCTTTGGTATGACTTGACTGGGATTTGAACTCCGATCACCCAGCCCCGGGTGTACACTCTACCACTAGGTGTCACGGTGAGATCAGGAGGTTAGGACCCAAGATGCAGAATCCCCAGAACGACTCAAGGCAGGAGAGGTTTGAGAGAATACTTCCTTTATTTTAAAGGCGGATGCGCCAAAGTCCAGAGGCACAAAACAAACCCAACTTAATATCAAATTCACAGAACGAACACAGACAGACAGACAGACAGACAGACAGACAGACAGACAGACAGACAGACAGACTAAGGTAACTAGAGGAGGACAGAACACACTGACAATTACAATGAACCAACACGACATTGAGACGCAGACAGGGTTATATACACAGAGGGGAGCAATCAGGGAAACAGGCAGCAGGTGCGTGGGGAGTGAGAGGTGAAGGGATCAGGCGAGACTAATTAGCTGAGTGGGGAAAACTGACTAGGTAAAATAAATCTACAGAGAAACTATAGATAAGTGAACTCCTAAAACCTGAAAACAAGACAACCATAAGAAAAACAGGGATGGGATTTCTAAATCTGAAAACACTACGGGGAAACCTGGAGTGGGCTGGGGAACACAATGAGACACAAGAGGAGAACCTGGAGTGAGAACAGGAGGAGGCTGGGGACTGAGGGACACAGAACATGACACTAGGCCACTGAGCTGCAGCTTTCAGTTGTTAATCCTAACTCATGAGAATTTTACTAATTCTGTTAAATGTATTAATTTAATGATACATAACCTACACTTGCATAGCGCTTTCTGAATCGGGACTCCAAAGCGTTTAACACTACAGTGACTCAGTCATCACCATCACACTGGTGGTCGTTGATAAAGATGGTGGAACATTTAGGTTACCATTTACTTCTTATAAACATCCATCTGCGAAAATGACCTACATTAATTAACTAAAACTTAATACTACTTTGCTGTTTTTTAACAAAACTAGAGTTCTTTTCACAATATCGCTGAAAAGTGTTGGCAGAAATATCGTGACTAAAGGAAACCACAGCAGGGCTCAGCTTAAAGGTCTGAGGGTTGAAACTCATGAAAAGAGGAAGTGATTATTTTTGTCAGCTTCTATTTTTTTAAACTCAGTTTCTTCAGTGTTATTCATATTATTGAACATTCGTTATCTTTATCTAACACACTGGGCTTTGTCTCTGCTTTATTAAAAAAAGCGGAACACATATGGAGCTGCAAAATTTGACTCAGGTCTCGATAGCGATCAGAACCTTGTTACAGTCCTCAGAATGGTGCACTTTTCATGACAGAAAAAAGGGTAGATTTTGACATTGATGGTTAAATTATCTGCAAAGAGAAAATAAAAGTGGATGAGGTGTAGCAATATATGTGGAGAAAAGCTTAAAGTGTAAGGTAGTGGAGAGTATGATCGTAGCAATAGAGGATATGTTGGAATACATCACTATGGAGATTTGCATGGAAAAGACAAAAAATAATATGGTTAGTTGTGTTTATAGGGTTTCTGGATTTTCACAGAATGGATGGGAAAATATTTTCCAAATGTCTAAATAAGTCTGAGTTTGTTTGTGGAGACCCTGCTCTTCAGAGAGCATCTTCTAAACTAGCACCCTCCTGCACCCGTCCCCTTCTCTACTGTCCACTCCTTGTTCCCTCCTAGGGCTGCACAATATATCGTAAATATATCGTTATCGCAATATCAGGATGCACAATACAGGTGCTGGCCAGTAAATTAGAATATCATCAAAAGGTTGAAAATATTTCAGTAATTCCATTCAAAACGTGAAACTTGTACATTATATTCATGCAATGCACACAGACCAATGTATTTCCAATGTTCATTACATTTAAATTTGATATTTATAGGTGACAACCAATGAAAACATCAAATCTGGTATCTCAGAAAATTAGAATATTCTAAAGGCCAATGAAAAAATGTTTGTTTCTCTAATGTTGGCCAACTGAAAAGAATGAACATGAAAAGAATGTGCATGTATAGCACTCAATACTTAGTCGGGGCTCCTTTTGCCTCAATAACTGCAGTAATGCGGCGTGGCATGGACTCGATCAGTCTGTGGCACTGCTCAGGTGTTATGAGAGCCCAGGTTGCTCTGATAGTCGTCTTCAGCTCCTCTGCATTGTTGGGTCTAGCGTATTGCATCCTCCGCTTCACAATACCCCATAGATTTTCTATGGGGTTAAGGTCAGGCGAGTTTGCGGGCCAATCAAGGACAGGGATACCATGGTCCTTGAACCAGGTGCTGGTGGTTTTGGCACTGTGTGCAGGTGCCAAGTCCTGTTGAAAGGTGAAGTCTGCATCCCCATAAAGTTGGTCAGCAGCAGGAAGCATGAAGTGCTCTAAAACTTCTTGGTAGACGGCTGCATTGACCCTGGACCTCAGGAAACAGAGTGGGCCAACACCGGCAGATGACATGGCACCCCACACCATCACTGACGGTGGAAACTTTACACTGGACCTCATGCAACGTGGATTCTGTGCTTCTCCGCTCTTCCTCCAGACTCTGGGTCCTTGATTTCCAAAGGAAATGCAGAACTTGCTTTCATCAGAAAACATAACTTTGGACCACTCAGCATCAGTCCAGTCCTTTTTGTCCTTGGCCCAGGCGAGACGCTTCTTGCGCTGTTTCTTGTTCAAGAGTGGCTTGACACACGGAATGCGACACCTGAATCCCATGTCTTTCATGAGTCTCCTCGTGGTGGTTCTTGAAGCGCTGACTCCAGCTGCAGTCCACTCTTTGTGGATCTCCCCCACATTTTTGAATGGGTTTGTCGTCACAATTCTCTGCAGGGTGCGGTTATCCCTAGAGCTTGTACACTTTTTTCTACCACATTTTTTCCGTCCCTTCGCCTGTCTGTTAATGTGCTTGGACACAGAGCTCTGCGAACAGCCAGCTTCTTTAGCAATCACCTTTTGTGTCTTGCCCTCCTTGTGCAAGGTGTCAATGATTGTCTTTTGGACAGCTGTTAAGTCAGAAGTCTTCCCCATGATTGTGGTGCCTTCAAAACAAGACTGAGGGACCTTTTAAAGGCCTTTGCAGGTGTTTTGAGTAAATCAGCTGATTAGAGTGGCAGCAGGTGTCTTCTATATTCAGCCTTTTCAGAATATTCTAATTTTTTGAGATACCAAATTTGGAGTTTTCATTAGTTGTCACTTATGAATATCAAATTTAAATGTAATGAACATTGGAAATACATTGGTCTGTGTGCATTGCATGAATATAATGTACAAGTTTCACGTTTTGAATGGAATTACTGAAATATTTTCAACCTTTTGATGATATTCTAATTTACTGGCCAGCACCTGTATGTATATCGCAAAGAACAGATAAATATCGCAATGAACGGTCAGCTCAAATGTTTGCTACACAATTTATTCTGTCAGTCAAATGGAAGCATGATGTTTTCTTAACACATCAAATTGAGCTCTTCACCCATTTGGCCAATCGGGTGGGTTCTCATAGGTCAGAAGCCCGCCCCCGAGGCAGACGGCACTTAATTTGGATGGTTAGCAAACACCTGATTTAGCTTTGCTCTGCTCTTTCTGCTGATTCTGCTTTTCCCGGGATCCACGGATTTCATTTTCTTTTTCCCTTTCCTCACATATTTTGCTTTTCTCATTTTTTTTATTTTTTTTATATCTTTGTTTTTGATTATTTTTATTCCTGAGTTAAGTTTTTATTTATCACAAGTAATATCGTCATCGCAATCTTAATCACTGTTATCGAATATCGCAGGTTTTCCTAATATCGTGCAGCCCTATTCCCTCCTCTCCATGATTGATGTCAGGTTGTTGTTGTTGTTAGCCTCAAGGGCAACGTGCCGATTATCACTTGTAAGTCGCTTTGGACAAAAGCGTCTGCTAAATACATAAACATGAACAATATCGACCTATTAAATTCAGAAAATCACTGATGAACAGAAGAGATTATAAGCAGTATGTACAGCATTGGTTTGTATCCAGAAATCACCAGACCCGGTCCAATTACTTCATATTCGGCTACATTAATAGATAATATATTGAAAAATGAAGTCAAAATTAACATATCGAGCAGGCTCCTATATAACAACATAAGTGATCACTTACCAGTTTTTATAGTTCACAATTGTAAATATAGGAAACTATAAGAAACTAACCATTTAAAGTATACCAGAATGAGATCAGAGGAAAACATAAATGCATTTAAAAATGACTTATTAAAGCAAAACTGGAATGTGATCTGTGAGGGGACACCAGTACAGCATAGGATACATTTCTAAAGATATTCATAATATTATACAATAAGAATTGCCCTGTAAAGCAACAGAATATGGGTCATAAACAGAAAGCATAAAAAAATGCCTGTAGAAAGAAGAATGCTCTTTACAAAGAATTGTTGTGTGTTGGACTGTTTTTGGCTTGTTGTCCAGAAAGCAGCAGAGAATGTTTCGACTAGTAGAAGCTAACCGTTAGCGTTGGCAAATCCACCACACAACAGAGCTCCTCCAGGCTTGCATTTGTGGGGATAAAACATCCACATTGCAAACCAAACAGGCATTGGTAGAGTTGTGTTGCTGGTATCCAATCCAGGTGAGGTGCCCAAATATCAGGAACTACGAGTCCAAAGTGAAAGTGGAGTGTTTGAGGATAATGCATGCCGTTTCAGGTGTGAGGCGTCATTCCAGTGAAGACAGCTGGGAGGAGATCCAGAGCAGGAGAACCATCAGGGCTGAGAACGAGGTGGAGGCCAATAAACTGGTCAACAACTACAGGGTAAGAACTCTGCAGATGAGATACTGGAGTGGAGCGGAGGGATAAACTGAGGTTCTGGTGTGTGTTTTAGTTCGGTTTCAGAAAATGGAAAAGCCACGTGACGGAGCGACCGTTTGAAGACCGCTCAGAAGTTGTGAAAGAGCTCTACTCTGAACTAAACATCATCAAACCACATGCAGGTACAGGTGCATCTTAGTGAGCTTGTAACGTTTCTGTTGACGATATGTTTTTGTCTTCTCATAAATCTCAGTAGCAAAGATTTTAGCAGAAAAATACCAGAAAGATTTTTAAACGATTGCTGATGAGTTGAGAAATGACCTTTGGGGTTGACTGTTCAGATTAAGAGATTAAATAGCTTTTTCTTACCATGTGAATTGAAAGTTTTATTTAAATTATTAACATGTTCAATATTATTCATCAACTCTACAAAAATGACACCACCAAAACCGTAGTAGAGCTAAGCTATTGTCCAAGAATATAGTTGTAAAAGCACCTTGCATGTACCCAAAATAAACCTTTTATATAAAGAGGTCTGGAGAACAAGTCAGCCTTTTACTGTTAGATGTTTCCTTTCTGTTTGTTTCCAGATCAGTTCATCACATGTGGAAATGTTTTGTATGTGCTCCTCTTTGGTTGGTGGGTGTCTCTGGTATATTTAGTAGTCGGCGCTCTGATGTTCGTCACTGTCATCGGGATACCTTATGGTAAGTGAGCCGGTTCTTGGTGGACATTGGTAAATATTCACTCACTTTTTTCTTTGACTCTTTGGATTCCTCTGTTTTCAGGTAAACTTTGCTGGAAGCTGTGCTGCTACTTCCTCTGGCCATTTGGCAACACGATCCACGAGGTACCATTTGGGTTTGCTTTAGGAAGTTCTTCCTGTTGCTACTTTCCATTTGAAGTGAGATTGATTCATGATAAGTTTCCTCACTTCCACACTGTCTCGAGGTGATAAAAGCAGAAATCGTTTAACATCACAAGTTTTCAACATTGCACCTCAGTATTTCACAGTGACGAATTCAAAGTTACAGGTCACATTACCACGTTCAATTTTTACAATAAATGAGGCGAGAAAGGTGCCAAAATGGGTCGTTGTTTTCAAAAAGTAGCAGTTTTGTGAGGTGTTTAAAGTAACAAACGTCTTTACTTGCACAATAGATGTACTTTAATTATGCAAATGATCTAAGAAAAATAGTAAATATTAGTAGTTTACACGTATTGTGTTGCAGCCGTCTCACCCTGTAGCTGGTTGGCTCGTACTGATTGCAAGATTTGAATCTCTTACAGCAGAGAGATGTTCTTCCTGAAAACATGCAGCAGAAGTTGGGTGACAACATGTCAACACACTTTTTTAGTCATTCATAGGTGACCTAAACAAAAAAATGTTAAATGTCCCTATTTTTAGTATAAGATGTTTATTTGGGACAACATTTTAGATTGTCCTACCTGCTGCCTTAGCACCATGACACCACCATCAACATCTATTGAACTAAGTCAATTTGTCCTACTTGTTACATCTCAAATCCTTTTTAAGGTGGGACTGAGCTGATGTGAGACTAGATTTTAATATTGACATGAAAAACAACACTGTTCTGCTTATGTCCTGATTTTGTTTCACCAGATTGGGAACACGCTAAGGAGATGTTGCGAGGAAGCACCAGACTGTGAGTGCAGTGTGACTGTGGAGGACAACTCACCAGTTCTGCTGCCATCACCTGCAGAGGTACCAACTCCAGAGGTACCAACTCCAGAGGTACCAGCTCCAGAGGTACCAGCTCCAGCGGTACCAGCTCCAGAGGTACCAGATCGACCTCTGTGGACCCCCTACTGGGTAAAACATACATAATTTGTGTTATTTGTTGTGACGTAGAGGACTGTAGTTTTCAGCTCATTTAAAAAATGTGCAACTGACTGATTTCTTACATTTCTTAAATTTGAAATTTTACTGTTATGTTTTAAAGCCTTTCGTGGTTTGGCGCCTTCTTATTTGGCTGAGCTTCTTATTGTTCACGCCCCCTTGAGGGCCTTGAGATCCTCATCTAAACATCTCCTGAGAGTTCCACCTTCAAGGCTAAAGCCTAGGGGGATAGAGTGTTTTCTATAGCCGCCCCGACACTGTGGAGTAGTTTACCATTGCAGATCTGAACCGCGAATTCTGTTTGTAGTTTTAAATCTCTTTTAAAGACATACTTTTTTACTCTCGCTTTTAATTGATCTTAACCTTGATTTATATGTATTTCTCCTCTTTTTGTTGTGTTGTTGCTGTTTTTGTTTGATTGTTGTTTGCTGATGTACAGCACTTTGGGCACTCTTTGTATTGTATTTAAATGTGTTTTATAAATAAATTTGACATTGACATGAACCATTGCTGTGTAGCATCGTCTCTCCACCTATGTGTGGTTGCTCCTGGGATATCCTCCCCTCGTCATCATTCACTCTCTGGTCTGCTTCATCTCCTGGATCCTGGTCTTCACCATCCCAGTCTCTAAGATGAACGCTCAAACTCTTAGCATCATTCTCCTCCTGCCTCCTGAGGACGTCCTCATCTCGACCAGCTCACACAGAAAGGTAAAAGGATTAGCTTTTCTTTTTTAGTCACAGCACACGATCCCAGAAAGATTCACATGTTCGTTTTTGTGTCTGATATTTAGCATCAAGGCTATGAGACCAGAGCGCTGCTGTGCTGCTACCGCGCTGCAAACTGGTACTACTACAAGTACGCTGTTGATGGGATCAATGTGTTTGCTGTCAGTATCCTTTACTCTCACTCGGTGTCTCTTTGTGGCATGACCAAAACACTAGTTAAACCTTTCACTCACACGTCAGACCTCCTCCCTCTAGTTATTGTAGCTCTGGTAATCGGATATGTTGACAAAGAAAACCAGCTTGCCAGTTCTGATGTGAAGTTCGCTATGGCCATCAGCTCCATCATACCTCTCTCATATTATATTGGTATGGGCATTGCCAGGTAAACAAACATGATTTTTTATATGTGTTACAAACAAATGGAGTCTGATTGGACTGTTGGTTGTGTTTTCGTCCTCAGCATCTCCGCTCAAAGTAACTTTGCTGTCGGCGCCGTGGTCAATGCCACATTTGGCTCCATCACAGAGCTGACCTTTTACATCACAGCCCTGCTCAGAGGTCACCGGGCAACCAACCCGTGTCTGCAGGAAGTGGTTAAGGCGGCTCTGACTGGAACTCTGCTTGGCTGCATCCTCTTCATCCCTGTGAGCTGGCTGTAAAAACTAATTTACACACCTTTGGGTTGTATTTGGCATCTAGTCTTAAACAGACATGTTAATTTAGACACTAAAATAAAATCTTCTGTTTTATTTTTTTAATAAACTTAACAATTAAATACTTCTCAATAATTGTTCATGAATTTCTAAATTTTGCAACAACAATTTATAAAAATCCTGATGAAATATGCCAGATCAGCTCAACAGCTCTCAGCCCAAAACAAACAAACGAGCCTCCATAATCAAGACATAAATACAGAACTTTAGAAACAGAAGAATTACATTTGCTGAAGCGGTTTAATTCTGCCAAACTAAAATGTTAAACCGTACATGAGAACTAACACAACAACGCAAACATTTCATTTGAGGAAATCAAAATAAAATGAGAAAGCACACATTTTAAAACAGGTAAGGAATGTTCGTTGGATGTTTTAGACTAGAATCGACTTCATTGATCCCTCAGTGAGGTATTTCACTCGTCAAGGCAGCACATACTGTACACTTGGAGCAAAGGAAAAAATAAGAGATAAATACACAAAGGCAGAAGGCGATTATTGTCACCTTCAGTTTCTAGAATGACGAATAAAAAAAAAACGATTCTCCAAAAAGAAAAAGCATAAAGGACACAGACATACAAATGTACTATTGCTCAAATACAGCATATTGCACTGATGTTGGCGTGTTTTGTTGTTTTAGTAAATAGAAAATTTGCTAAAATACTTTTTATTTACTTGTCAGTTAACTAAAAATCTCCAAAAGTTACTTTAAAGGTGTGGAACAATAAAAAAAATATTTTTTTAAATATTATTTTTGATTATAATCAGTCACTCTGAGCTTTTCATGCAGGCTAAATGTGAAAATAGTCTCCTACACCGATCTCCTGCATTATCTTCTGGTAGAAAATATATGGTGAAACTCTAGGATTCTGAAAATCCTGACAGATCTACATCACACATTCATGGACTCACCCATCTTGTCTTGTGAAAGGGAAGTCTGTTGTTGGTTCAGCGTCCAAGAATCAGCAGAGAACGTCTTGGCTAGTAGAAGCTAATCGTTAGCATTAGCAACTCCTCAGCATAGCAGACTGCCTTCAGGCTTGTGTAATTTGTGGAGATAAAAACATCCACGTTGCAAAAGTCAGTGGTAGAGTTGTGTTGCTGTTATCCAATCTGAGGCGAGATGTCCAAATATCAAATAAGACTCCTAAACCTGCCGTCTGAAGCTCAGCTGTGATGTGGGTCACTTCTAGTTCCTAAAAATGGTGCACTGGTGTATTTTTTCTTCATAGTATGACTCACAAGGCATTCTATTAGAGACTACGGCAAATGTATTAATTAAATAAGTACTCAACACCTTTAAAGACCATCTTGTGTATTTTTAGGGCATCTGCATGATCATTGGAGGCCTGAAACACCAGGAGCAAAGATTCAACAGTCGATCTGCCGGAGTGAGCTCTGCGTTGCTTTTCATCTCAGTGGGAGGCAAGTTTTTAGAGCCCAACACACAGAGCGTTTTTACATTTTATGTTGTATTTTATACGGTACAAGAAAACTCACAACGTTTAACAAGTCAGCCATAAATGTAATTAACAAGATCAGTTAAAACATGTTGTGCACTAGTTTGTAAAGTTCATCTTTGTGTCCTGTTCTGTTCAGGTGTGTTTGCCCCCACGTTGTTCTCCAAGGCTTATGGAAACCTGGTGTGTGACGCCTGCAGCAGCATCAACGCCACCAGCAACAGCAGCGGACCGTTCGTGTGCCACAACTGCCACTATGATCTAGTAATAAACATGCACACACACACACACACACACACACACACACACACACACACACACACACACACACACACACACACACACACACACACACACACACACACACACACACACACACACACACACACATTCTGCCTTAAGCTTAATGCTGATTTTTGCTTTTATCAACAGAAAAACGGTACACTGTTCCACGACCACATCGAGTGAGTTTAGTTTAGTTTCTTAGTAATAAGATTAAAATAACGATCTATAGTAAAGTGCGGCGGTGCATTCCTGGAGGAGTTTTTTTTAACATGTAGTAAAGTATAGGAAGTACACAGTTTCATATTGTGGAGTTTATATTTTAATTTACTAAATTAAAGTTTAACGTTTTGGTAGCTCATTACATCAACTGGGATCTCTCAGGGTTTATTGTTTCTAGTCCGTCTGGTGAGTCAGTCTGAAGCTATTGTCTAAAATGTGAAAGCTTTAAGCTTGTTTAGAATAAACTTGTGTTTTTGTCAGGCCTCTGGTGTACACAGTGTCTGTTCTCCTGCCTGCTGCCTACGTCATCGGTTTGATATTTACTTTGAAAACACACTCTCACATCTATAACATCCATGTTGGAGAAGTGCAGGGTAAGATTCAACAGGAAAACCCGCTCCTGTCACTTTTTTACCTTTAAAATCGTCGTGATTAAAGAGTTTGTGTCCCTGCAGTGGGCGGCCACCATGGGACAGTTGTCCACTGGTCACGGTGGAGGTCTCTGCTCATCCTCATCGTCGCCACCGTGCTCATGTCTGCGTGTGCGGATCTCGCCACCGAGCACATTCAGCCGATTCTCAACCAGCCCAACATTTCTCAGGTGCATAAGATCTGAGCGTGCCCAGTTACTACCCCGCTCCTGTTATATTTACCTGCTCTGCTTCTCTCCTCCAGTATTTCATCGGTGTGACGGTTCTCGCGATGGTCCCGGAGATCCCGGAGATTGTAAATGGGATTCAGTTTGCTCTGCAGAACAACATCAGTCTAAGGTTGTTTCTCTCTTTTTAAACCACCATTAAAAATAATAAAAGTTGTTTCTAAATGATGTTTTTGTTCCAGTTTGGAGGTTGGAAGCTGTATAGCTGTGCAGGTCTGCATGCTACAGATCCCAATCCTGGTTTTATTTAATGCTTTCTGTGTAAGACTCTACTTTCAGTTTCCATTAATACAAATTAGTAAATAGAGTAAATATAATAATGTCTCTCCTAAATCTTTTTAGGATGTGGGATTTGTGCTCGTGTTCAGTGACCAGCACATGTGGGCCAGCATCTTCAGTGTTATTCTAGTCAACTACATCTTCATGGATGGAAAGTCTGATTATTTCCAGGGTACGGTTTGAGGAGTTAATGGTTTGGAGAAAATGAAAAAAAGATTAGTTTCATTTTTAGCAAGAAAATATGTACATTTAAGTGAATTAAATAGAGAAACCCAAGTAAGTATTAAGATACATCACATACTATGTAAAATGAGAATCTGTGTGGCAGTGTGAGCGTCCTGTCACAGTGTTTGATCATGCGCCCTGGCTACTTGGCCAAGGGGATGTCCCTTTGGCTGACTGGTAAGTGCGCATGACTCTCACCCAGGAGTCTGGGGATCGAATCCTGCTCTTGTTACTCCACCTTGCCACATCTGCATCACTTCTCATCCCGTTTTCTATTGTATTTGTCTTTAATTGGTTGTTAGAAAACCCATCCAGTTGTCATGCATTCATCAACTTCTTGTTTTCTTCAGGCACAGCTCTGGTGGTTGTCTACCTTATCCTCCTGGCTCTGTATTTCTTTGCCCCGTCTCCAGCTGGCTGTTAGGACCACGACTAACCCTCACATCAAGCCTGAAGGACTTTCGCGGATCAAAGTCAGGCTTGAGTCTCTTTCACACCAAATCCAGAAAGGTCTGGCTTCTGCACGACTTCTGCATTGATCAAAAACCATCTAGCCCAATCAGAGCATCAACACCGGCCGCGGTGTGGTACAGATCTGAATGCAAAGCTCCAGAAAGTTTCCACATAATCTATTTTTCTGAACGCTGCATACAGATTGTCCTGAAGTTAGATTACATGAGCCAGGCAGGAAGTGAGACGTGTTTCAGTAAGATGCATCCGGTATATTTCAAAATAAAATCCGTGTTGCATTGTTTTTACCAGCTTTTGTTTTATTAATGGCGGAGAGATCAGTTCACAGTGTATGATAGTTTACGTTATTGTTTTACCACTTCGTAATTTTCCAGTTGTCAAACAGAACAATCATCTTTCTCCACAAACAACCACAGAAAAACACCCCCACACATAAACTGAACCAAAAAAAGAAAAATCTACTTCACATACTTCTCACAACACTTATAACTTAAAATAACTTGTTTGTGGGAGCTCTTGTGGGAGAAAATATCCAGAGACTTTAAGCACACAAACTGCAGTCAGTGTGAATGGTTTGCCAGAAGAAACTGGACCAACTCCGGTGTGAAATCAGGCATGGAGTGATTTTTCGTGAGGAACTCTGGGAGGTATCTTTCATGTATTTTTTAATATTATACAGAGAAAAGTTTTAATCTCAGGTAGGTACTTCTATGACTGCACACTGTAAAAAACTGACAATTATAACATAAGTTATAGACCACCATACTCAACAATGTTGTTGGACCCTTAGAGCTGGGAATAATTGTTTTTATGGCACAAATGATTATTTTCCATTATTTGCATGATGATTTATAGCTGTAAACTGTGTTAAAGAGAGCAAAAGAGAGAATTTCAAAAACCAGCTGCCTTTTTATTGTTTGTACAGTTTGAAAATAAAAACGTGCAGCCATTTTTACATTTAAGGAGACATTTGTTTCTTTTAAGAACTTGTGTAAAGTCACATGCAAACCACATTTACATGCAGGAGCTTTAGCTTTAACATCAGAAGTAATGCAAAAAAAAAAAAACAAGCCTGGGGAATAAATTAGGAAAAGACAATTAGATGCCATGTGTTAGTAAACAAGTTATGCAAAACGACATATTCGGCAAGTGGAAAATATTCAGCAGGTGGAAAATAAAGGCAAAAGTGTGTCTGAAGGCTCAATCAGAATTATTATGATGCACAGTAGCTGCAAAAGAACTGCTGGTCTCCCAAAACTTGGTTTGCAAAAAAGCTGAATTTTTGAAAGTTAATGGTTTCTGCAGAGCTCTTCAGTCAGTTTTTAATCACCGAGTACAATAAAACTGTACCAAGCACAAGAGAACAAGAGAACTGGAAAAAAATAATACATTATGATGACAGTTTTTTTTTTCAATAAAAATCTTGAACTTGAACAAATTTGCAACTCTTAAGTTACAATGAAATGACGCTGAGCGACTCCTGTTTAAATACATTTGAAAGGTTCGTAACATTAAGCGGCACGGTGAAATAAATAATTTAAAAGGTCTGAGTTTCACTTCATGTAAGCTTAAAGGCTCCGGTGAAAAACCGCACATGGAACTTTAACACAACTGAACAATGAAGCACTGAAATCCTT